AAAAGGGCACGCCTATTGCAGCACCAATGACACCCGACCAATAGTGTCCCCACCAAAGTTCAAATCAAACCTACGCCCTTGAATCTGGCATCAACCCAAATGATTTACTGCAAATTAAACGGTAGAAAACCTTCAAACCACTTCATCAAGAGCAGTTTACCAATCAGTGGCAGATCCTGATCAGTCCTGATGAATTATTTGCTTTGGGCTGCGTGGTTACAGCAGAGAGGAGTCAGGCGGCTCTTTGGCTGCTGTCGTTTGGCCGGATCATCTGAGCAGAGATGCTGGACGGAGGTTTTGGCAGCGAGTTCTAGTAAAGCCAAAGGGCTGAGTGCAGAATTTCATCTGTGAACAACATGCCACAACTACTGTACTTGTGGCGTAGGGCTCTGCTGCAGACTATGTGCCACGTAGCACGTTCAGCATGACAGTTTTGCTCAGTTTTCTTTATTTTCTGCAGGTAAAGTTTGACCTGTTTTATCAGATCTGCACATTTCTGCAGCTGCTCCTGCTTTTCTAGATTTTAACCCCAGCCTGAGCTCTTTTCACGCATTTTTATCTCATTTTTCGGGACTCCAGAATCCTCTCATTGTACAGAAATATCAAATGAAAACAGAAGAAGAAACAAAGTGGAAACGATTATTAGGAATGGCTAACGGATTTGGTACCAAACCAAATCCACCAGTACTACCAAGCAGCATCATCAGGACATAGAGGGAAAGGAAGAATGATCGATTTTCTGAGGCGAATGTGAACGCAGCATTGCATGCAACAGATGGTGATTATGTGAAAACCAACTGCTATTTGCCAACTTAGCAAATATTTTTCTAAATTTAGAGACTTTTCTAACCTCTCTGGAGGTTTTTTTTTTTTTTTTTTCCAAAAAAAAAAAAAAATCACCTATGGTCAGGAGATCTGGGTAACGACCCAAAGGACAAGATTGCGAATACAAGAGGCCGACATTAGTTTCCTTCGCAGGGTGGCTGGGCGCACCCTTCCAGATGGGGTGAGGAGCTCGGAGTAGAGTCTCTGCTCCTCCATGTGAAAAGGAGCCAGCTGAGGAGGCTCTGGCATCTGCTCCTGATGCCTCCTGCTCGCCTCCCTCAGGAGGTGTTCCAGGCATGTCCCATTGGGAAAAGGCCTGGTGGAAGAACCAGGACACAATGGAGGGACGATGTCTCTGAGCTGGCCTGGTGTCTCCTCAGGGAGCAGCTGGAGGAGGGAAGTCTGGGCATCTCTGCTGAGACTGCTGCCTCCGTAACCCGGATGAAGAGGAAGAAAATGGATGGATGGACGTTTTTCTTTAAATAGATTCCTTCATTTAACTCCTGCATTTGGCACCGTTAGCATCCATTAGCAGCTCATGGCCTGCAGTTGGCACCATGAGGAAGCAGCATCAGCACGTTTTAGATGATGCTTGCATGGCATTGGTACTGAACGCCACCCATCCCTACAGAAAGCAAATCTACTGAGTGAGTTGCTAATTATAGTGTGGAACCAACAGTCGACTCTCAATGTATGTTGACCTAATAAGAAAGAATTTTAATTAAACCTAATTTAATAAAAATGTCACTTCATGCTGCTATCTTAATATATTTGAATCCATCGCCCTGTTTTTTATTTCATGCTTTTCTGTTCCCCCATGAAAACACGCTGGCCCCCCTCCTGGCCCCCTGGTACATTTGGTCTAGTCCCAGTGCTCACGGGGATGGACGTCTGTGTCTTCAGCAGGCGTAGAGCTAACAGAACTGGCAGCGTAGCGAGGCAAGGGCTCAAACATGTACGGCTGGAAGCCTTCTACACCAAACCAAGCTTCTGCCGCCCTGGCGTCCTCTTCCACAACATCTTCGTCCCCGCTTTCCTCCTCTAAATAAAAAATGGATGACGGAGGAGACTCATCCACGACCTCCGACACTAAACTCTCCTCCTCTTGCATGTTTCCTCTGTCCATAGCGTTCCTTGACAGCGTCGTTTCTAAGTCACCAATTTAGTGCTACTTGGTCGCAATGGAATTTCCCATTGGGAACCTGCTAGCACTAAGATGCTAACTGGATGCTTCCCACAAACCGGCTACAACAATCCCGCCCCCTTGAAAATGGACCAATCACATTCACTTTATTCACTCGCGTAAAGTCGGGCACCACTCGGGAGAATTTGGCAACGGTTGAAACAGACGCTTCCCAACAACTTTAAAGCACCAAATATCGTCCAGCAGTCACGCGATGTGTAATTTGCCCCAGTATAAACATTTAATCACAATTTTTTTATTATATATTTAAGCCCAGGTAGTCCTTTTTTATATTTGGCTAATAAACTTGGAGCCCAGGTTGCCATACGAGGCTGATAGAAGCCTTTTACATTTCTGCAGCTCCAGGCGGATTTCTTAATTTGGTCCAATATGGCTCCCTGAACAGTTTGGGTTGCCGACCCCTGATGTAGGGGGGAGGTCCACTCATTACTCTTATGGACTGCTGGGGCCTTAGAAACGAATCAAACACGTTAGTAGAGTTACAGATATCAATCACTGTTTCTGATGTTTTTTTACTTTTTTTTATTTTGACAATTTGTGTCTTCATGTCTGGGTATACTGACAGTGCAGCTATTTCATGGCATACTTTAAGAGCTTTCTTTTTTTTTTTTATACACTAAAGACCATGTTCATTTCCATATTTCTTTCCCTCAAGATTAGAGCTTTTTTTAAGCTCTTTTAAAGCATGAGTGCTTTCTTTCCAATCTTGTTAGTCCCTAATATATTCTGACTATACATTAAGCTTTTTTTTTTTTAACAACACATACCACATGGACAAGTGTGAGAGAAATCTGGTTGGACAAACAGCAGTGAAACCACAGAACTGTGAGAACACGAGTGGTTTCGTGGAGCTGGCACAGGGCAGCATGTCTGCACAGAGAGGTCAAAGGTCACAGCGGCCAGGAGGCACGTGGAACAGTAGGAGCCTGCTCTGAATATGCTTTTAAGATAAAATGTGTGCGTGCAATCCTAGCATGATCACAATCACATGGCGTTTGCCTCATTTATGCTTGGGAAGCTGGTGTTTGTGCATTCCTCTGGCTCAAAATGAAACGCACGGCTGTCACAGACATAATTAGGACATAATCTATGAAAAGGGAAGGTTCTATAAAAGGGTTATAGTTTTAAAGCCAATTCTTTCATCCAAATAAGTCCATTGTGTCCTATTCTGGGAGGAAACATGAAGACTAAACGGAAACAAAGCAACTTCTAGAAAGTGAACTTCTGACTCTATAGCTGTGGGATCACTGTACGCATTATTAGTCATGAGCCAGTGGGATCAGTTGCTTGAATTAAACATTATTGTATTTGCAGTCAAATACAGAATTAATGGTGAATTTATTTGGCAGTGTTTGTAAGAAAGTCAGCAGTTGCATCATCTGAATCCAACTTGGCTGTTCTATTATAGCGATATCAACAAAAATATTCCTCAAACGCGCCATCACCTCAGGGTCAGGGCGGGAAACAGGTTGCATCGTTATGGCGCCGCTTTAGTCTGTACACCTGTACACCACTTATAATTTTTCATTTGAAATTATTTTTTCTTAATATATTTTGATTGCGTTTTATTTTTTTTCTGTATTATCTTTTTTTTAATAGGTTTTATATTTTCATTATTTTTCAAGGTAAAACGTTGAAAAACTTTACTGAAAAATTGCTTTTCCAAATCACATTTTTTTACACTTCTGGGGGCGGGGTTTCCACTGCAGTGAGTAATGGGACCCGTTTCTATTGGTCTGCTGGACGTCAGCAGCAGCAATTTTATTGGTCAGTAGCAGGTGTTTGATCTGGGCTTCAAATGAAGAGAATATCGTCTCTGAAAGCCAATCCAACAAGTTTAACATGTAAAATTTTTTAAAATATTCTGCAATTTAAAAATATAAAATTGGTGATAGATGTTTAAAAAAAAACATTTACACAAACATTTAAAGAGATATATTTCAAAATATACAATCTGTATATATTTGAAAACCATTTTGAAATAATACATTTTTGAAAGTAACCTTAAAACCTTTTTGGATCAAAAACATTTTTTATTTTATAACTAAATGTGTTTTTTCACATTTAGATTACATTTATTTACAAACCTGTTCTTTGCTTACAATATTAATGCTTTTCTTGGAATAAAAATAGATTACAGGAGTCCATTTATTTGCCAGAGGAAGCTACTATGATGGGAAAAAAAGTAGAGAACATAAATTTGGCGGCTGAACCAACAAATGATACAAAATTGATGAATAAATGTAGAATTAATCAAAGTGATGAAAAGTGGTCCTTATGTCCTCAAGCAGCCTGAGTCTATTGCAGCGTCACTTTAAAGATATCTGAGGATAAACTGAGAAACTCAAACTTTATCAAAATATTTTAGGCAGGTTTCAGGAAATCCTCAACATACTTTTTCCTGAAGTTTTCTCAGGTCATAAATAACCCAGAAAAGTTCTTTGACCTCTAAAGCATTAGAACAGATCAGTCAGGCCTCTTATGCTTGCAGTAATTCACACACTGACATTGGAATGATGGCAGTACTTTAAAATACTGCGCCGTGCAACTTCTGCAAATGGAAACCAGTGAAATTAACAACGCTAGCAATGGCAGGTCATTTCTTCTGCCAGGGTCAGTTGTTTTTCTTTTATTTCTCTCAGCAGTTACTTCACCAAACTGGCTGAGAGCCATTCCTGCCCCTTTGGTTTTTCATCTCATTACTGATCTTTTATGAATGCATTACAGAAATTGTTTTTGTGGTCATATATTGCACACAAAAAATTCTCCTTCAAGTTATTTTCTGTCACAGAAGTTGCTGTGGTTGCTCTTATGACCAGGATGCAACTATTTACAGTTTGATTAGATTACCTTCATGGGTTTTATAATGATGTCGTCTGTAAATGGCTAATAGAGGAAAGGGGAAGCAGATTTCTAGCTCCCCTGACAAAGTTGCATCATCCTTTAAATCCATTAACTCAAAAAAACTCACCTGACAACTTTGGAGCCGCCTTTGTTGACCTGCATGTCCACCATACATCCTGAGTTGACATAAGAGGCCAAGTTGATCTCTGAGAACTCCGCCTGGGAAAAAGGAAAATAAAAGCCAGGATTTTATGGCAACATGAGGTCACATTTATGTACCACAGATGAACTCCTTGACTCAATGTTGCTTTTTCTCTTGGCCTGGTGACAGCAATACATCTATATAACATTAAAGCCAATTGCTTTACGTCATTTTGCCGTTCTGCATTTGCACGGACCGGAGCAGCAGACGAGACTTGGAGAGACAGAGCGAGCTGGTCAGAGAAGGCAAATTGAGTTATCCCCAATCTCTGGCCTCCAGGACAGTGAGGGCCTTGTGAAAGGCCGTAACTTGGCTACTTAATGACTCAGGCAAACTCCCAGAGATTCTCAAAAGGATGGGACAACAACTCCACTTCTGGGAAAGGAATCTCAGGATGTGTGGGACCAAACAGCAAAACCAAGCCTGCAAAATGTTCTCGTAAAACTTGTTATCAAGAGATTTCTTTTTCCTCCAAAAAAATAAAAGAGTAGCAATTTTGGCTTTCATTTATATTCCTTAGGTTCTCCCATACACAGCTCATTTCTCTATAGCAGTTATTGTAAGTTAGAGGTTCAATTTCAATTCTTCCTTTTGTGTTTAGTTTATTAAGCTTTTTTTTATGCTGTCTTTTTGTGTTTAATTTCAGCTCCCTTTATATGACCTTGTCTTCTGCCGTTTCTCATTATGTGTACTTGTGCGTTCTCGTGTCCTCGTGAAACGTCACCATCCTCAGCCCTAGCACTGTTCACAGCAGACCGTGAACGGACAAAGTCCCCGGATGTTGTTCTGGCCCCTCCCTCTTTACCCAGCATGCATCAGAGCAGACCTGTCCGTTCTCTAGACTGACAGCTGTCCCAGCATGCACTGCAGCAGCAGCTTCCAGGTTAGCGCTCACAGAGCTCAGAGTATTAATTTAAAAGTTCTCCTTTCTGTTGTTCAATAAAAGTATGTTTTAAGGTCATTTGAGGCAAGAACATTATATATTTATATTATATTTTAAGCTTCACTATATGGCCCATTTACTAATTTAATGCAGAAAAAATAAATAAATAAAATGAAGCTAAGAGTCTGCAGTAGCCGGGGCTAACGTTAGCCCGTCTGAAGTCCGTACTCGCGTTCTTGCAAATTGAGAAACTGGTTTCTCTTGCAGCTTCTCTGCTTTCTTTGTGCCACAGCTGTTCCAAATTCCCTCTGCATAGATAATTAGGTGTCTTTCTAACTTTCCTACCCTGCCTCTTTATCTAGGTTCTGGTTTTTCATTGTTAGATTATTCAGTTTCACTGCTTCAACAACAGTCATTTACCAGGAACGCCTTCCAAAGGCCGCCTGAATTTCAAACATGTTTGATTTTCTGCCGACCTCATGATTCCTGATGGGGAGGTGGTCGTTAGAGCTGATCGCTCCTCGTTATCCCCTGTAAACTACACCACGCAGGAAGCACCATAAGGCTGAAACTTGGCCCAATCCAAAATATTCTCACAGGACTGGAGAATCGGGCCGTAAAGGGCAAAACTCGTACTGCGTACGTCCGGAATAAGCAGCTGGAAAGTACATAGCATGTCTAAAGTGAAGGGTATTACTGTAAATCATTGTAAACTAGTGACCAGCAGCCTTTTCACTGCTAATTGTTACATTTATAGTCAGTAAAGGTAAAACTGCCTCATAACTTCATAGTTTTTACTACATAAGGTGATTCAGCCCCTCCCTGTTCTATAAAGATAAAAATCAATCACCCTAAAGCCCCAATAGTTCTAACAGAGGGCAGCTCATGGTTCAATTACCGTTCTGCATCAGTTTTGTTGTAGATTTAACGGTAGAAAGTGTTTGCTCTGGTTTTGACAACTTTTTATGAATTGCTTTATTTTTATTTTGTGTTTTATAGACCACATTCTCTTCACTTTAAGCCCAATACAAACATTCGCTCTTGACCAATAAAAATGTTGCAAATGTCCTGCAGACCAAAAGAGGAAAGCCTAGCAGCAGTCAGGATAATGTGATCTGTTATATAGAATTAAAAAAAATGTGATATTTACAAAAAATCAATCTGAAAAAGAGAGAAAAAATAATCTGAAATAAAAGATGAAATGAAAAAGTCCAGAAAACAAAAAAACTGGGTAAGTACAATTTTTTTTTAGTTTCATTACTGGATTGAATTTTCTCTTCTCCATCTAAAAATAAAGATCTCTTCCTCGTCAACAATGGGGTCAAGGTTGCTTAACGACCCAAGTGCAGAGATGAGTTATTGTTGATTTAATAAAAAAAACTGAGGCAGACATTCAAAAATGCAAAATAAAAAAAAACAGAAAACTTCAGTGGAAAACTCACATGTGGAGCCAGAGACGAGGAGACAACTAAACAACAAGGAAGCAGCAGTGAGTGACTGCAGAGGTGGAGTATATAAGGGGAACAGAACAAAGGATGGACTGATGAGCTGAATATGGAGCAGGTGTGAGTGGAACTAACTAGAAGGAAGCCAAGGGGAAAGGAAACAAGCACCAGGGGGCAGCAGAGAGTAACTAAAGACTGCTGGAATAGAATGGAAAATAAACAGAATCCAAAAAGGGGAGAACCATGACATTCCTATGATGATGGAACAAAATTCCCACCAATTTCTTCAGGGAATTAAACAGTTTTGAAAGTTCAGGAGTTTCTAACAGCAGGAATAAGAGTTTAATTGTTTTATGACTTAAGCCTCGGGTTTTGTGATTTCTGGAAGTGGATTAAATGCAGGTAGAGGTTCTCCTTCTGGCAAACAGATGTCTCCATAGATGAGTTACACCTCAGCACTCTAATCTGGTTCAGCCTTACTTTCAATCTCAGTCTCACAGCCCTGTTGCTCCACTATTTTTTTTTCTTTGTATTCAGACTGGGAAAAGAAAAAGTTGACATGCAGTTGGATTTTATTTATTTTATTCTGAGCTCGTCTCCAATCTGTCCGAATCAGCAGAGTTTTTCTGCTCACTGAGGAAACAGTGTCAGGCTCAGGCAGCATTCCTCTAAACATTCCTGTGCAGCAGGTAGAGAATCCTGCAGCGCTATGCTAAACGGCAGCAGGTTGACCTCAGACAGAAATAACCGCCATTTGTTATTCTTTAAAATTCCTTCCAACAATGAGACATAGCATAAACATGGAGGATTAAATGGACCCTGAACAAGTAGCCTGCTGACCATGTGTGGAAAAACACAGAAAAGGCAGGTCAAGGTCAACAACCCAACAGAACAGCTTTCAAACAGTCCAGCTGCTTTTCATTTAAAGTGAGAGAATCCTGAGTCAGAGTCAATCACCGCCGTCGATCCGACACAGACGCCCAGAAGATTCAGAAACAGAGTAAATGTTTTGATCACAATCGAGGAAAAATGGCTTTCAGTTCCAGCGTTTCTCTAAGAATCATCGAGGAATCAATAAGAGAGGTTTTCCTTTAAGAACACACGCACCGCACATGGCTAACAGCGTTTGGCTCTCAACTAATCACAGAAGTAGATCTATGACTGAAGGCCTGATGGATGAAGTCCCGGACTTTCTTCATAAACAAATAGCGAAAATGCGTGAGGCAGAAACCTTCTGTAGCTGCTTTGTTGTGGAAACATTTGCGTGAAGCATGAAATTCTTAGACAGGAGAAACTTTGGGTCAACTTTAAGCATGTGATTGAGGAAGATGATGCCATCGTCTTCCTCCTGCATTGAGCTCTGACTCACCTAGAGAAACCTGAAAGCTCTGTGAGGATCATGTTCTTTGATTTCTCCAGAGCTTTCAACACCATCCAGCCTGGACTCCTAATGACCAAGCTGGAGCTGCCAGGTGTGGACCAGCATATGTCCCAGTGGGTTCTGGACTACCTGACAGGCCGTCCACAGTGTGTGAGGACACAGGGCTGTGTCTCTGATAGGTTGGTTTGCAGTACGGGGGTCCCACAGGGAACAGTGCTGTTACCGTTCCTCTTCACCCTCTACACTGCAGACTTCTCCATCTCCCCACGCTGCCTCCTCCAGACCTTCTCTGACCTTTCTGCCATAGTTGGTCTCATCTCAGGTGGAGGCTGTAGGATGGGACCCTGCCTCCCACATTGCTTCAGGAGACATTTAAAAACTCCAATTAACTCTGTCTTTGAGGATGCTGCCATGTTAAGCTTCTAAAACTAGAAGCCACATAGCCTTTTCCAAAATGGAGATCAGCAGAGGTTATAAGTCGGGCAAATTTAGGGAAAAGATTTTCAGGTAAATTATAATTTTTTGGGTCGCATGGAGGCGCGTTTTGAACTCTACTGGTTCAAACACTAATGGTAATAATAACAATAATGTTTATGGATTTTATCGTATGCTTATTAATTATGATTACCAAAATATGATCAAAGAGTCCTTTGATCTATGAATATCCTCCGGCCTGCTAGCTACTAGCTAAATCACAGGAGGTTAGGAACCAATTATTTAAAGCTTATTTGGTTTCTGACTCAGTTTATTAAACATTATGTTGCCAAATAATGTTTAATTTAATGTTGGATTTACATTATAATGTGGTTTGAACACATTCCAATTCCTCTAATTTAGTTAAAAGGTAATTTGACCTCATTTTAAATTCTTCAAGATAAACTTTGGTTTTCACAGATAAAATCATGCCTTACTGGGATATCGTTCTTTTGTTTCTCTGAATATGGTTTTCATCCCTGATTTTTATCTTCTTTGTCTTCATAAAAACTTATTTTAGTTGAGTCTTACTAGAATAGTCAATCATTTTTAAATTAAATCCGTTTGATCTGAGCTCAAATTACGCTTTCATTTAAAGCTCTAACCGACGGCATGTATTCACAGAACAATATATGGCAATACGAATATGATTTAATTCAATAACATATTTGCAACCCCAACAGGGGATATATAATATCAGAATTGTACAACAAATGTGTGGAAGGATATTGAAGCAAATCTTAACTTTTGACTGCCATCATTAACTTTAATCAGTTTCTTTCTACAAATCTCTAGGCTTTGACTGGCATTTAATATTTTAAGACAATTTTGTTC